CTCTCTCCTATGCCCAGGCCGCCATGATGGCAGAGGAGCTGAAGAAGGAGCAGGACACGAGCGCCCACCTGGAGCGCATGAAGAAGAACATGGAGCAGACCATTAAGGACCTGCAGCACCGGCTGGACGAGGCCGAGCAGATCGCCCTCAAGGGCGGCAAGAAGCAGCTGCAGAAGCTGGAGGCCCGGGTGCGGGAGCTGGAGAACGAGCTGGAGGCTGAGCAGAAGCGCAACGCGGAGTCAGTCAAGGGCATGAGGAAGAGTGAGCGTCGCATCAAGGAGCTCACTTACCAGGTGCGGGTGGGGGGGTCGGGAGTAGATGTGCCACAGCTTCTCCAGCTGCACCCCCAGCACACACAGGGACCCTGCTGAGCCACTGTCCAGGAAGGCCAGGCAGCCCTCCTGTCTTTGAGGTGCTGTCTAGGGTAGTCCAAATGCAGTGGTGTTAACAACTAATTGAGATGCTGTCCATAGATTAAGTTCCTTTCACGTTCTCTGGGGCCACTTCAGCTTGAGTCCATAAATTTTTGTAGCAAAGAAGAATCTACTTCTACTTCCTGAAATCTCATTTATCAGCATTTCTTCAGAGTTTTAATAACCCAAAGTACTATGTGAAGGCTTCAAAATAGTCCAAGGAATCTTTCCACCTTCTACCAGCCCAAGGGGAAGGGAGATCGTGTGGTTTAGGAACAAGAGTGAGGTGATGGAAAATGACTTGGTGATCTTCCCTGGAAAGTCTGGGACAAGAGAAGCCCTAATAAAAGATCTCAGAATATTCTATGACCTCCATTTCCCAAGTCAGTTTTTGCTCTTGCCCTTCACAGTATCCTGGGAAGGAAAAACTGAGGAGATGAAAGTGTTAATCCATTTGACAGATAGACACCAGAGGCACAGGAAAGAGATTACAGATGTGGCATGAACACAAGTGGAAATGGCCTCCTAGTACATACAGTAACATGGAGATGCTGACGATCAAACAACACAGAAGCCAGTGATCCTGGTGCCTGACTTCCGGCCCTGTGCAGTGAGCTAGAATATTGGACTATGATAGATTAGAATAATATGAGCAATGATACCCCCCTCTTCTTTCTGCCTTCCTTGTTATCACTCCTCTGGTACCTCATGTTGCTCCAGGTGGGAGCTCCATCCACGGCTCTGTTGAGGCTGGAACAGACCAGGTGTCTCCATATGAGCACGTTAGGAAATTCTCTTTGGTTCTCAGATCCTCCCTCCACTTCCAGCTGTAGGATCAAACTGCTTTGTGAATTCCTGACTGAGAAGCGTGCCTCACCCCTTTCATTTACAAATGACGTCAGAGATGGAATCTTCCTCACCACCTCTTTGACATGGAAGGAGAGCCAACTGAGTCCTGAGGAGAACAGTGGCATGGAGGGGGGAGGAAAAGGTCATTGTACTTGCTCCTTCCCCAAAACCGCTTTCTCTCACCCACCTCTCCCAGACAGAGGAGGACAAGAAGAACCTGCTGCGGTTGCAGGACCTGGTGGACAAGCTGCAGCTGAAGGTCAAGGCCTACAAGCGCCAGGCTGAGGAGGCGGTGAGTCTGTGGTTCCCCCACCACCACCATTGGTAACACTCCTACTATGTGTGAGCCAATGAGTATCTGCCACTGTGGGACCTGGACAGAGGTCTGTTCTAATCTGTAACTCTCTCAAAGCATTCATTTTACATGTCCAATATTCTCAGAGGTGTGTCAGGCTACACAAGTTCACAAAAGCAGTGCTGCGTCTGCCCCTGCACCTGCCTGCCCTAGTTTATAGTTCACGCACCTTATGTCCAAGAAAAGGCAGTGGAGATGCTAACATGAGACAGGGGCACATGGTGCTGAGGACACAAAAGGGGCTACACAGCTGGAAGTAGGCCAGGAAAGGGACCTGAGTTGGTGCATGGCAGTGGGGAAGCTATCCCAGCAGGCAGGAAATTGTGGAAGTAAGGTGAGATGAGCACACCTATGCAGGAAGATGAGCACACCCCAGGTCAGCAAGGCTCTGAGTCACGACTGGAACAGATACAGTGAATTAGAGTCGGAGGAGGGGGTGATGCCAGACAGCATGTGATTCGCTAGGCTGAGTAACCCAGAAGGATTCTGAGTGCTGGACAAGTTTGAGGAAAGTGCCACGCCTGGGGCAGGAGACCCTTGGGAATGAACAGGAACGTGGGTGAGGAGTGAGTGGTCAGGGACAGAGTGTGTGCCTTGGGCTGAGAGAGTGGAAACATGCACTTCCCATGGCCCCTCTCACCTCATCCTCCCTCGGCCGCAGGAGGAGCAGGCCAACACCAACCTGTCCAAGTTCCGAAAGGTGCAGCACGAGCTGGATGAGGCGGAGGAGCGGGCAGACATTGCCGAGTCCCAAGTCAACAAGCTGCGGGCCAAGAGCCGTGACATTGGCACCAAGGTGGGTCCCTCCCCCCGGGGTTCAGTAGTCCCCCCTCACCAGCATGGCCTCTGACGTGTGTCCCTCAGAGTAGCTGCTGCTCCCACTGTACGAGGACAGCCCCAACAATCCCACCTGCTCACAGCAGCCCCCCCTCAGAAAGGCCACACCTGCCCCCTGAGCTACAGGCACCCTTACCATGGGACCCCAACATCCCTGAAGCTGACCTCTCCCTTTCTAAGGGTTTCTCCTCAGCTTAGGCCCCTGCAAGCCCCAGGGACCCTTCTTGCCAGCTCTCATGCCTCTTATTCCTCTTCCAGCAAAAAATGCACGATGAAGAGTGACAGGGGCTGTGGAACCCGGCTGTGGCCGACCCACAATAAACACGAGTGCCTGACCCTGCCTGTGTCCTTTGTCCTTTCCACCTGACCTTCATCCTAGAGCAGGAGGGTTGGTGGCCCAACAGCAGGGTGGCTCTAGCCCCTGTATCAAAGCTGTGGGAGCCAAAGCACCCCACATCTACAGCAGAGGAAACCAAGCCCAGAGGAGGTGTCCTGCCTGGCAGCACAAATCCCAGCTCTGTTCAGTCAACCACACAGGGCAAGGGAAGGAGATATTTCAAAAGTGGAAGAAAATGGGTTGGGGATATAGCTCAGTGGTGCTGCGCCTGCCTGGAAAATGCAAGGTTGTGGGATCGATTCCTGATACCAAAAAAAAAAAAAAAAAATGGGGGGAAATAAAGGCAGCAATAGGGTGAGCCAATTATAGACACTGAGGGTCAGAACTTTGGTGCTGAAGCCGAAACTACCCTTCACCTCCCAAATTTCTGAGGCCACAGAGGTTAAAATTGTCACCGAACACTGTCCTTTCCAAAAAGACCCTCCCACTGATGCCAGGAGAGGCTCAGAGCTGGCAGAGATAGAGGTGCGGAGAACAGATGTGGGGAGGGTCCCATCTAGTCAGCCCCTTGGAAGTAACCACAGGGAGCCCCCTCTGTCACCCCCAGGGCCTGACCCCACCTCTGCAGGTGGCATTCCCAGCACTCTGGGACCAGCTGGTGCTCAATCCAAATCCGTATGCAGTGTGGCCCAAACCTGCTGTCTCTGAGCGCCACTGAGGACCAGCTGCACAGCTGCTCAGGAGATTGAGCTGGTCCTGATCACCTCCACGGGGCTTTCTGGCGCGGCTCTGCAGACAACCTCCTCATCCCTTTACCTGGCATCCCTCTGCCCGCTCCCCAAATGGGCCTCTCTGTCCCTCCTCTGAGGCAGTGCCCATCCTGTCCCACCCTCCAAGTCAGTCACCTACTCTTGAGAATGAACTTTGCATCAAGCCTGGGGACTGTGAGCTTGAGAGAAACATGAAACCCAGCTGGTGCTGGGCCTGGAGAGCCTGGCAGAAGCTGCCTGATCAGATGAGAAGCCAGGACTCAAGGATATGAGAACAGGAAACAGGAGGCAGGAAGAGTCCAAGACAGGAGAGGTCACCATCAAAGGAGCAAAGCTCCACCACAGAATTCGAGGTCCAGGGTCTGGGCAAGGCATGGGGGCAGAGTCCTGCAAGTGGAAGGGACACCCCAGAGGAAGGAGGATAGTGCTTAGGGCAGCAACAAGCCTTGGAGAGGGAACAGCCAGTCGGCATGGATGGAGCCACGGAGCTGGGCCATGCTGAGCCCCTCAGAATGGGCAAGAAGTCCTGGCTGCTCTGGACTGTCACAGACCAGGCAGGGCTGGTTCCCAAGTTGTGGCAATGGCTGCTTCAAATCCCCTCAGAGCCAAGCTTTCCCCCAGCTTTTATCATGTGGAGCCTTCACTAGCTGGTCTTTCTCCCAACGCTGAGGGCTCACCAGCAGGCCTGCAAGTCACTTCTGAATTCCTAGGGCTAGCACAGGGTCTGCACATAAGAGATGCTCCAGAAATGTGTGGCGAGCAGCTTCAGGCTGGGAAAGTGGGCCACGGGTGGAAGGAGCTGCAGATGAAGCTGGGCCACTGTATTCTGAGCCACAATGGAACTTAGTACAGTATCCAAATCAGCTGTTTTGCTAACAGGAGAGCCGGGTTGTACCCCTAGCCGTGTCACAAATAAGGAAGACACTGCCCCTAACTGAGTCCCAGTTCTCTCTTGTTTAGAACAAAGGCACTGAACCAGCTGATTTCTAAGGGCCTTTATGGCACCAGCATTTTGGGAATGTCTCCCTCTGTTGCAACTGCCCTCTCCCATGCCACATCCCAGCCAAGTCATCTCCACACCATCAGGAGGAGCTCTATACCTGCCCCGGCCAAGCACCTCAGCTTGTGCCCACTAACACGTGAGCACAGGTGTGTGTAGAGGGGTACACGCTTCACATCAGAAAGCTGTGCCTTTTCAGGCACATCACGCAGGGGGTTGCATACAATATTTTCAGAATTTCTCCCTCCTCAGACGCCTCTGGCTGTAGGGTAGAAGTTCAGACTTGGAGGGTGTCTTCAGCTGCACAGGCCAGCTACCCCCGCCTCACTGCTCAGATCTGGTCCCAGAGCGGTCCATGGCCTACTCCAGGCAACATTTCCATCAATGCTCCTTACATTTCAGTTCTTCCTAATGTCTGGGGGAGAAGAAGACCCACCAGTAGGATTTGAATCTTTTAATTGGGGAATGACTTGGGGCCCGGCTTTCTTCCCTCCTCCCTCGTTCCCTCCTCCCTTCCTCTGGTCAGAACTTCCTCAGAGGCCAGACCCCAAGGCAGCAGGCTCCACAGATAATCCTCAGTGACTCCTCGGGCATGGTGAGGGGGACAGTGGGCCAGGTGGTCCATGAGTACCAGGAGCTGTGTCTGCGCTCTGCAGTCCCCTGGGTCTGACTGGGCCTGGGAACCAGGTAGCCTCAGAGTCACTGCTGGTCCCCTGTGAAGATGGGGTCAGGCAGGGAAACTGTGTTATGCTGGGGTAACTAGGCGAGGGTTGGGGCACCATCTCTCAGTGCACAGACACTCACCCTGGGTGGCCCTGGGCACAATTTCAGTCTGATATATCTTGAAGGCATCATAGACAAAGACGGAAACCAGGATGATGCCAAACACCTGTGGAGAAAGAGCAGGCATGGCACAGCGAGGACTCAAGGCTGCTGGCTTAAGGGAGAGAGGGCGGTAGGCCACATGGGATGAGGTGCAAACCAGACCCCAGGCACTGGCTTTGTCTTTGCTGGTTTTTGCAATACTGGGGATCGAGTCTGGGACTTGTGTGTACTAGTCAAGCACTTGACACTGAGCTACACCCCCAGCCCGCAGCTTTGGCCTTGGTTGCAGGAAGGGTGCCAGCACTGGCCAGAAGTCTTGAGGGGCTGGACTCACAAAAGCAGCAATGGCAGCTCCCTCCCGGGAGGTCACAGCGGCAAAGGAGACCACCAGGAAGATGATGACGGCACTCACACAGCGGAGGAAGTCCTGGGGAACAGGAAGGTGGTGTCAGAAGGCAGGGGCATCACCTTGAGCTTTGCAGGCTAAACGGTGACCTGATCCTCAGAGATTCTGAATCCCCACATGAGAATGCCCCTAGACATATATAAAGCACTTTCAAGAGAGGGACCTCAACAGGCTGGCCAGGGGATGGCGGCAGGTGAATCCAGAGCAGCCAGGGGCCAGGGCAGGGCTGGGGGACTGGCTCTGGTGGGCAGCTGGAGCACAGCAGCCGGCAGGCCCGGGTTGGGCAGAGTGGAGGGCTGATGAGTGGGAGAGCAGATAAGGATGTACGTCTGTTCTCATGCGCGGGGACCTGCCGCTCTGAAACCAGTGTGGGCCAAAGCATAGCTCTGAGTACAGGGCACATCGCAGGGTGCAGCACACTGGGGCCTGGGAATGGAGGGAAGCTGGGAGAAAAAGGAACACTCATTGGGGGAAGGAAAGGAAGGGGACAGGGCAGGGCAGGGTAAGGCTCCTCACCAGGCAGGGCCAGTTAAGTCGATCAAAGCGTTGGTAGTACTGGGTGGCGTAGAGGAAGAGGAAGGCGAGGGTAATGAAGAACTCCAGCAGCGCCGCAGCCATGTAGGCAGAAATGGAGGCCGTGAAGCAGATGAAGATGATGAAGGTCAGGGCCTGCAGGACCAAGCACGAGGAGCTAGCCAGGAAGTGAACACTCCCACAGGCCAGGCCCTGGCCTTCCCCTCCTCAAGACACAGACGTACCTCCCACCCCAGCTGGCACCCCATGCCTGTCTTTGGTGGATCCTTGGGCCCACCACCACCCTTTAGCCTCCCCCGCCAGCTCAGGGACTCCCGTGACCCCAGCAGTTTGGCCACAGGGCACAGCTCCAGGGGCACTACCCTGTTGAGTTCCATCAGCACAGGGCCCCAGGAGCAGGGTCCACAAGAGCCACTGGAGTTGTTCCCCTATCAGCCCTGTACCTCAGGAGTGCCCCCTGCCCATAATGCTGTTCCAGCCCCCAGACGCCCGGAACTCCACTGACAAGAACTGGAGCTCTGACTCCGGGCCAACAGGCTCAGCAGGCGGGAGCTCCCCTGCATATAGGATGGCAGAGAAGCAGAGGCCTTAGATTTGTGCTGTGATCTTGCTAAGTAACCGGCAGAGAGCCGTTCCTGAGAACAGACGCGCATGGGCAGCAGCCAACGGACAAAGCTCAGCTGAAGGAAGTCTGCCCTTCATGACAGTTGGACTTCTTGGCCAAGCAGTGGCTACGGTAGTGACTGAGGAGAGACCTCTGTCCCATGCCCATGTCTCACACTCCCTCCATGCCCCACACTCCCTCCATGCCCCAGAACGCTGTCCTCTAACTTCAGTCTGTCCTGCTACAACTGAAACCTGCTGCCGACACCTCCAGAGGGAGACGCAGCTGGAAGGCCAAATGGAAGGCGAAGACACAGCTATGGGCGGAAGTGTCCAGAAAAATTGGGAAGGGGATACCGAGAAGTGAGCCTGGGGGACCAGCACAGGACTGGGCGAGGGAGCTGGGCAGGGAAGAGATGGAGGCACCAGGGTGGGGAGGCAGCTGTTACCAGCTCTGTTTCCAGCAGGATGCCTTTGAGAGAAGAGAGAAAGGTCTTGTCCACAGCGAAGCCTTGGAGCCCTGCAGCTGTCCCCTCCTCAGGAGGCCGGTCCCGGCGATCCCAAGCACTGAACATCTCCGTGGGGCCCACAGGCCACAGCACCCCACAGTGGCTACCAGCTCAGAAAGAGCAACAGAAAGTTCGCAGGATAGGAAAGCAGACAAGAGCAAGAAGACACTTCCAGAAACCTGAACGTGAAGCAGGAAGGCCTGCCTGCCTTCACCCAGCTGCTCAGGGTGCCTTTGCTATGGCCTGCACCAGCCCCTTGGAGAACGGGCAGAGGCGGGAGGCATGGTTAACCCTCCCCTTACTTGAGTCTAACCCAGCCCAGGAAAAGGGGAAAAGGAAGGAAAAGAGAGGAGGCCAGGAAAACAAAAACAGGGGCTGGGAGGTGAGCCAAGAGACAGGGGCAAGAATAGGAGCCCCTCTGAGACCCAAGCCTGAAGAAGTTTGCATCCCCCTCCCATAACCTTAACCCTCTCCCTTGGCTGGTCCTTTCTGCCTTTTCCTTTTAGGGAGGGTGGGAGCTGGAGCCCGGCCCAGGGAGCAACCCCCAGGACCAAGCTGCAGCAGCCAGGACGGGAGGACAAAGGCAAATTGTCGGAGAAACAAGGGGGCGCTGTGTGCCTACCCAGTGCCTCAATGAGCCTCTGTCTCTCCAGCATGCTGGTGTTCAGGGGTGGACCAGAGAGCCCGCAAGAGGGAAGAGAGGGGAGGGTGCACGGGAAACTCGGGAGGGTAGGGAGAACTGGCAGGGGGCAGGCAGTAGCTGAGGGCTGGTGGGGAGAAGAAGGAACCAGGCTGGGCACCACAGGAAGTTCAGGCATCATGGGAGCCAAAGACCAACTAGACCATTTTTTAAACAGATATTTATTTGGATAAATCTCCCCATGTTCAATAACAGCTCTTTCCTCAGAATGATTCACATCAAAGGGCTAGTAAGTACACCAGGATGCAGGCAATGTAGGTTCCTACTGAGTGTTTGATGAATGAATGAATGAGTGAGTGAGTGAAATGAAGAGCAAAGGGGAAAATATCAAGAAAGTGCCTGTGCTGGGCAAGGGCAGCTGCAGATGGGAGGAGAGAGAGACAGGAGTGGCCTCCAACAATGGGCAAAGCTTTGAAGACCTCTCCTGTGAGGAAGTGCCAGGACACCAGCTTCCAATAGCAGAGAGTGCAGCTGCTCCCTTCCAAAAGTGCTTTCAAAAAGTGCAAATGTGTAGGCTCCTCCTCAGGCCGCCGTCCTGTCTCAGGGTCCTGCTGCTCCGGGTAGTGCCTTGCAGGGACCAAGAGTCCAGGTACCCCAGCCCATGGTGGCAAGGTCACTGTCCACTCATCTCCAGTTGTGCCAACCAGGGAGCAGCCTCAGGCAGGCGGCAGTCAAACTAGGCCATCACACGGGGCCGCACACACACGCAAGCCAAGGACACGCGGTAGAGCCTGCGCTCCAGGCAGTAGCCATTGTGGGCACCATGCGGGCCATGGCATGGCCGCCGGTAAAACACCGTCTGGTTGTGGTAGAGCAGCTCCGAGTTGCCCATGGGGTCCATGTGGGAGCCTGTCTGCAGGCTGACGCAGTGTGGGCACAGGCAGCGGGCGTGGTACAGGTCCTGGGGAAGCCGGTTCAAGTCTCTGTCCAACCTGTAGGGGTGGCATTCATCAGGCCCTGGAGCAATAGGCCAAAAGCTGGGAGGGCAGGCAGGGTGGAAATACGAAGGGAAGGAAATGATGCAGTAGGGGGTTGGCTCCTTATCTCACTGCCAGCACCCACTTACTTTGAGCAAATCACCCCCTTTCCTCTCTGGGATTTCTTTTCCCCAGTGGTAAGCGAGGCCAAGGGACAAACGAATGGATTTTCACCTGGGCCAGGGTCCTTAGGGAGGCAGAGGAAGGTGAGCATGCTCCTGCTGCAGCCTCCAGTAGACCAGTTTTGCTTCTACCGATATACATGCTGGGCTCTAGCTCAGGGTTTCTTAGTGTCATTATTTTAGGATTTTTAAAATTCACTGCTATTGCAAAAGTAAAAACTACCCTGATAGCCAAGTATAAAAGAATATAAGGTGAAGATTAACTATCTGTGCCCACCAGTCCCACTTCCTAGAGGGAGCCATCGCCAGTACATCCTTCCAGACCCTGCGCAAGCATGTGTCACAGAGCACTTCAGGGTGACAGGAGGCTTTGTTACCTATTCTGAAAGGACTCATGGCAAGAAAAAAAGAGACGAGACTGAAAACCCACTGAAAAGTAGATACGCCAAGGTCTGGACTCCAGGAGCTTAGCAGGAAACCCCCCAGGTTGTGGGGTTATTTCCATATAGTCCCAAACTGGGGCTCAGCTATTGCAGCACTTCCCAAAAGGGGTCCCGAACACATACCCTGCACAGAAGTTCTGAGGTTAAGTAGCTTCTTTTCTGTAGATATATTGTAGACTTTAATGAAGTTACTGTGAGTTTCCAAGGAATAGGGGCTGAAGGAATCTCTCCCAAATTTACTTAACATCACTTTTTTTCAGAGGAGCAGTTTGTGGAACGAGTGTTGCACAGAACACGCTTTGGGGGACGCAGGCTACCAGGGCTTCACAGCCTCCTACAAAGGGTCTGGAGCCCTGCTGAACCAGCCATCAGGCCCTGTCCTCCTCCAGTGGTTCCCACCCTGTCAGGTGTGGCCCAGCACTCACACAGCCTTTTGAGATAACTCCGAAACACTAAGGCCAATGTGTCCAGCTTAGATCTAATCTCAGTGAAAGCTGACCCCTTGCTATCACCTGGAACTTCTCCCCCCAGCGCCAAAGCCAAGGGTAATCAGAACCAGACTTTTAGGGGATGGGTACACAAAACCCTAGTGAGGACACAAGCCAAAGAAATTACATTTGGGACCCCTGAGGACCTAATTTTTAATATTTTGTTTCTTTGCTCCAATTTCAGTGTTTTGTAATGTTTTTTATATCTTGCACAAAGAGAGAATTATAATATTTGTGTGGCACAGACATCTGAGAATAAGATAAGCATAATTAAGGTCAAAGATAACCAGCCCCAGGTTCCAGCCACTCAGGCACCCCCAAGAGCTGAGGTTCCCCATGGTAGTATTCTTGCCACCTATCATAGCCTACGGCAGTAGCATTTGTTGCTGAGATGCTTTATGCCTGTATCATACCATTTTCCGCACATATTTTAGTTAGAAAATCATGGGACATGGTAGGGAAAAAAGAGAAGAAGGAAAAGGGAGGAGGAGAAGGAGAAAGAGAAGAAAGATGAGAAGCAGGAGACAGCCAATATAGCTATATATTTTGCATATGTTATTTCACTTGATATGGACTTCAGCATATAAATTATAATCTCATTTTACAGATGAAAACAAAATAAAACTCTGAGTTTTGAAAACTTAACTTGGAGTTGTTGGCCTAAGGTCCCCCAATGGGAGTCAGACCTGAGACTCAAATCATACCTGTGTAACTCCCAAACCTTTCTGCTTCCCTGTGATCAAAAGAAGGAGGGAGGCCGTAATTGAGTGGAACTCCCTGGTCGCTCACACACACTGATACACCACATACAGGGAGGCATGGGCAGGCATTCAGGAAGAGAGCAGCAGACTCACTCATATCTCCAGGGAGAGATGGCCCTGCTGTTGAGGGGTCCATCTTCACTCGCCCTGCAGGATTCTGGGTAGTGGACAATGGCAGAAGGCTCCGGGGGAGACATGGGCACAGTAGTCCACTTCAGCCACTCCTCAGGACGGTCCTGCCCTTTGCTGGGGCAGCAACAGCTGGGCCTGTGTCTGCAGTCCTTCTCCATCCACAGACTGACGGTGTGGATTCCCACAATCATTGCCATGAATGCAACCACCTGCTGGGAAGGTCAGGAAGAAAAGGACTCTCACCTATCTGGGTCCCGCTCCCACCCGAACCACCTCCTACCTGCTCCGTGAGATCCCAAACCTGGGAGCCCGGTCTCCCCCTAGCCTCCATGTGGCTTCTCCGTCTCCTCTCAGCAGGTCCTCTGCTAGCCATCAGCATCCTCACCTGGTACATGCTGGAGTCTGCTCACTCAGCCACAGGTGCTGCCCTGGCTGACAGACAAGCCTTCTGGAAGCAGGCTGAATGGAGCAGTTTAGGAGTCCTGGTTTTATTTTCAGCAAACCTGTTTTGTTTATTCAAATTTATTTCCACTATCCTTTAGAGGGAGTGACTTAAGATTAAAAAAAAAAAAAAACCTTTAAGCTCTTCCAAAAGCTGTTTAAAATGCTGCCCTCATGGAAGCTGTGAGGACCATCATTACCTAGCTAGTAGCTGATTGGGCAAACTTTGCTCTTTGAACCTTTCTGGGTGTGAAGTCGAAGCAATAGCGTTCCTCTGCTCTATGTCTTTGTGAACTGGCTGTGGGGATTTCCCTGCTTGGCTTGCTACCCCGAATTAGGGAGTCCCCTGACCTCACTTCTACAGGCTTCCTCTCCATGCTCTCTGCTACTCCCACCTAGCATGTGATCTCCACTCTCCTCCTTCCTCCCAGATGTCCCTGAGCCCTCACGTTAGTGACCACTTCGCTTCTTCTCCCTCTCCTTTGACCCCTATGCCCTCTGCTCTTTGACCTTTCTCTTCTTTGATGGCCCCAACTCCTTTGACTTCTATTACAGTCTCCCCTCGCCCTCTCCAGTCACTACCCCATCCCTATCCTGACACTTCCCATGGCCTCTTCCTTGGGATAGGAACACAGGCCTCACCCAGCAGGACTTCCAGGAAGGCTGTGACCCCTGAAGCTTGTGGGCTAGAAGCGCAAGGCCTGGTGGGAGAAGCTGTGGATGATTGTCCCCATTGCACAAATGAAAAGGCGGAGCAAGGAAGAGGAAGAGCATGTAACCGCCTTACCTCAGACCCTGCGGGAGGACTCACCTTCACGCACAGGGCCTTGGGGCAAGGCTCATGGCAGGAACAGCTGCCCCTCTAAGGCCACAAGGGGAGTCCACTCAGCCTTATATTCTCAGCAACACGGGGCAGGGTCAGCCAGGGGGAATTTGTATGCTCCAGAAAGGCTGACCCCAGGGGACAGCCTGCTGGGAAGGACTGTGCAGAAGTCAGTGCTTACTCCCCTCCAGGCCTTTCCCTCATCCTGGCCCATGGATTGACAGCAGACCTGGAGCCTGACCTTAGCCCAACATCCTCATACACAGACATTGTCTCTAGAATGATGCCTCCTGATTTGCATGTGCTTTCCCTCAGAAAATACTCCTCTAGTAACCAAGGACTCAGGAAATAAACACAAGAAACAGGAATAACACGGTAGAGTCAGGGAGAATCCTTCAAATTCTTCGGACGAAACAGCCACGAAGAACAAAAGAGACGGGGGTCAAACGAGATGAAGAGGAAAGAAGTGTTCGTTGTCTGTCATAGGGCATTCTGGAGAATTGGCAGAAGCTGCTCCAGTGAGGCTTGGGGCTGGAGCCATGGAAGAGGCCTTAGCTGAAACCAGTGGCAGCTGGGCAAGTGAGCCATTTAGGAAGAGCAAGGAAGCCAGGAACATCACTACGCTACTCCCATGCTCACCCTCGCCCCGGCTGCTCCCAGACATCTATCTCCTTCTATCTACTGCTCACCTCATTTCGGTGCACTTACCTGTGCCAGACACAGTGCTCAGCTCTGGACGCTAGTTGTCTTATCCTGACAATAGAACCATGCCAATGAAACTGTGATCCCCATACTGCGGATGAGGAAACTAAGACCCAATGAAATGTAGAAACCTTTACAAAGAAGCTGAGCTGGCTTCCATTCCAGCCCTGACCAACTCCAAATCTAAGCTCCTGACATGGAGCTACCCTACCCCTCATCTGTGGCAAGTGAAAAGGCAGCCCCCACAGAGGATGTTGGCTGTTGATAGATGGGCTTGGGCTGGACAGGTCTCATACCTGCCCAAGGCACAGGGTACTCTTGCCCACTTAGGCAGTCAGCCCAATGGCTGGGATGCACTGCTCCAGCCTCAGGTCTGTTACATGGCCTCAGGGTTAGTCTGGATGTTCCTGAGGAGCCCCAGCCCCAGAACAGGATCTAGAGGGAAGTGCATTTCAGAAGAGCTAGATTCCTCTGAGTGTCCCCAAAAGAAACAGAAGCCCAGGGCTGAGAGAGAACTGGAGCCTGACCTTAGCCCAAATCTTCTGACCTTGGGCCCCCATTCTCAGTGGAGCTGGACGTGATCTCAGCAGTTTGCTTCACTTACTGACACTGCAGAGAGGACACAGCCCTGGTTACTGGGCCCATTGCCCTTCAGGAGCGGCCTTTGGAGTATCTCCCAGCCTCTGTAGCTCAAAGTAGAGGTAAACCCCAGAAAGGCAGAGGGAAATCCTCCCCAAGCACACAGTCTCCCCCAGGGTTGGCTTTTCCCAACCTATAGCAGGCAGGCCTGAACCAAGAACCTGTACTCTGAGCCACATGCCCCCACCCACCCGTTTGCTCAGTCTTTGTCCTTATCTCGGTAGCAACTTGGTAGCATGTCAGGGTAACTCCATGACATGAGAAACATTTTCCAGAGGGTTTCCTCTTGGGGTGACGAGTTTTGGAATCCCTGAGTCACTTCAGCTTCCAGGGAATCCTTGGGGGTGCGAGGATAGGTAGGTGGCAACAGGGAGGATGACGGAGTGGAAGCAAAGGAAAGTTCGCCCAGCGCATAACATCAAAGGTCGCCTCCCAACATGTCCCCACTTGCCTGTGCCTCAGCTAGCAGCCAAATTGCTGGGATTCCTATCCCTCTGCCCCAGGAAAACTGGTGAGCAAAGTGCAGGGCTGGAAAGAGCAAGGAATGTGTGATGAAATACACCTGTCAACCCTGGCCTGGAAAAGCTTGGAGCTTTCAGGGAGTTGCAATATGGCTGTCCTGCCCCTTCTTAGAAAGATAGTCAAGTTTTCATCTGCTGCCTTGAAGTTTTGGCCCAGTTATTGTCCTTGGGCCCTCTCTGCCCCTCCCCTCCTTGTGTGGAGGAATATATGTATCATAGGAGCCTGGGGGGAGTGGGAGTTCACCTCGAGGGCCTCAAGAGTGCTAACAGGTTAGCTGCTCTGGACCTAAGCTCTTGAACTAGTGCAGAGTCACAGAGCTCCCAAATGTCTACTAAATTTCATCTGCACTAACCTTACGTGATGCTGGGGCACTGGTTATTAAAATGTTCAAACATTTCCTCACCTTCTGGTAAGTAGATGCTACCCTCAGCCTTGAGGCACCCTGCCCCACACCACCCTATGACTGAACAACTAAAGGGTGGATTGTGGAGATGGAGGCCTTAGGCCAGTGATGAAAACATTTTTACAGACCAAGCGCCCAAACTGCAACCCAAAACCCACTTATTTGTCGCAAAGAGCCAATGCTGCAATCAAACTTGAATGCTGAGGTTTTTCGTTTAGAAAAAACAACCGTTACCTGGTGCTGGCTGCTGGGGTAACTTGGCTAACAAGCTGACAGAGAGGGCTCTGCGTGCACCTGTGCCATAGGTTCGCCACCACTGCTCTAGACTTTATTCCCACGTTCTGATTGGCAGGTGATAAAGGTGCTGGTTGTTAATTATTTTTAATATCTCCTTTAGTTACAAAAATGGGCCGGGGATATACCTCACGGCGCAGTGCCTGCCTGGCAAGTACAAGAAACTGAGTTCGATTCCCTGTATCCACCCCCCTCCAAAAAATGCTTAGGCTAAGGAGTCCACCATTAAATAGAAGCTGCCTTGACCCAAAGGACACATGGAGAATCAGTAGGAGAAAGAACTCAACAACCCACTGCCCCCGGCCCAGATGGCTCCTCAAGGAGGACCCTGGGCTTACTAGTTTTGTCCTGTAATCATGGTTGCTTGTGTTTGTTCATACATCCATCCACCAAATATTTATTGAGTACCTACTGTATGCCTGCAATTCTAAATGTTAGGAATGTACAGAAGAACAATCCAGTTAAGGTCCCTTCCTCATATAGCTTATATTTTAGGAGGAGACAGATGATAAACAAGGAAACAAGATCATTTCCAATGATGATAAGTGCTACAGAGAAAACAGAGCAGGCTTGTGAGTCAGGGAGTTACTGTGGGAGTGAGAGAGCAGCTCGAACTCTGAAAGCCAGGAAGGCCTTTCTGGAGATGCATTGGCTATGATGATCTAAAGGGCCTGGGGCAACCCACTCGGGTCCCCTTCTGTCCCTCTCTTGGACAGAAAGAAAGCTTCTGTCCAAGCTTTCTTTCCCTCAATAAATATATTCTGCTCTTAACCTCCATTGTTCCTAAAATTCATTCTTTGATTTTAGAGAACACGAACTTGTCCCAGATATCGTTCAGGTTGGGAGTTTTTATTTTCCTGTATCATTTTGGAGTCCTCACCAAGATCCTTGGATGGAGACATGGGAAGTTCACAGTTGCTTCCTCCTCTCAGTTGCATCATTAAGCACTGGAAGATGTTTGATCCTTACATGTTGGGAAAGAGCCGTTTAATATTTTTCTGCACTTGTGCGTGGCCTACCTATCCCCTAGAGCCAAAATGGAATGCAGAGGACCAACTTGGAAAGGACCATACCCCGTGATCCTGTCAACTGCTCCAGTGGTCAAGACAACAGGCCTGGACTCTTGGATACATCACACCAGACTCAAGCTCTGGGAACCAGAGACTGTTACTGAGGGTAAACAACCACCTGAATACTCCTATAAACCCATAAAAGACTTAAGATTCCTGTTCAAAATAAATAAATAAATAAAGGGCCTGAAGGAAGGGTGGTCTAGGTATGGGGGCAGGACACAGAGTCCTAGGGGTGGGAAAGAGCTTGGCATATTTGGGAAACAGGAAGAACAGTGATGATGGAAGATAACAGACTAAGGGGAAGTAGGAGGAGATGAGGTAGATATGGCCCCTATCTACCTCATCTCTTCTGGACCAGATGACAGATGGTCTTACAGGTTATGATGAAGCATTGGAATTTTATTCCAAGGTCAGTGGAAAAGTATTGACTGATTCAAGCATGAGCTGCAGGATTTGAGTTTCCTCAAGACAGGCACCATGTCCTTGACACTCCAGTGCCCTCACAACAACGATAGTTGCTTTTATCCAACACTTACACATGGTGGGCCAGACACTGCTCTCAGCATTCTCTTAATGCTCACAACCAGCCAATGCTCCAGGTTCCGTTTCATCCCCGCAGCTGTTGTCCTTTACCTCCACAGGATAAGAGTTCCAAAAATCACGTGGTAGCTAAGGTCACTAGTTAGTACTGGAGCCAGAATTAGAATCCAGGCAGTCTGGGTACTCTAAGCCCAAAGAGAGGAGGGCTGGAAGAATTACTGAGTACCTGAGAAGTTCAGAGTAACAAGAAGGACATCTGGGTAATGTGGAAAAGACCAGCCGGTTGGGCACTGCTAGAAAAGTGAAAGAGGGAGCCAGAAGACCTGAGCCTAGGTGGGAGTCATTCCTAGCCCCAGAATATGGTGGGACAACCTTGTGGGACTTGCTAAATGAGGCTGCTGCCCTCCCAGGGTCTTAGCCACCTACCAGTCTGGTTTTTCTTCAGTGGCACCAGAGCCCAGAACTCTTTCTGAATTGCTGGGCATGGTGGTGCACGCCTGTAATCCCAGCACTCAGGAGGCTGAGGCAGGAGGATCATTGCAAGTTCGAGGCCAGCCTGGGCTATAAAGTGAGCTCAAGTTCAGCCTGAACTGCATAGCGAGACCCTGTCTCAAAAAGACAAAAAACAAAACAAAACAAAAAAAAAAAACACAACTCTTCCTGAACATATTTGAAACATCGTAAACAACTGTTTGTGAAAAAGAGGGCAGAAGTAAGGGTAAAAGTATATGGGAAAGCCTTCTCCTACCCTCAACAAAGACACCTGTCCAGCTTTCATGAACGTTAGAGGGAACCCAAGATAAAAGGGAAAAATCATGGAGGAATAGTATAATGATTCAGAGCTAAAATGTTCCCCAACAGTCTCACATGGGGGGGGTCAGGGATATAGCTCAGCGGTACAATCACCTGCCTGGCAAGCAGAAGGTCCTGAGTTCAATCCCCAGTACCAAAAAAAAGTCTCGGGGCTGGGGATTTAGCTCAGTGGCACAGCACCTGCCTGGCAAGCACAAGGTCGTGAGTTCGGTTCCCAGTACTGGAAGAAAACTCCCCCCCTCCGCCCCCCAAAAAAGTCTCATGTGTTCAAAGGTGAGTCTTCTAGGAAGGTGACTGGATCACGAGGGCTCTGTCATCATCAGTGGAGTAATCCACTGATAAGATCGTAATTTGATGACATTGTTAGGAAGGGATGAAAATTATGGAGGTGGGGCCTACTGAAGGGAGTAGGTCATGGGGGATTTGAGTTGGAGGACTATATCTTCTCCCCGAGCCCTTCCTCTCTGGCTCTTTACCTCAGCCTCCTGGCTGCCATGAGGTGAGCAGCTTTCCTCCACCATATCTTTCTGCCATGGTGTTTCTATCTTGGAGTCATCAAAAATGGACTGAACCATTTGAAGCCATGAATCAAAACAAGCCTTTCCCCCTTTACATCGTTTTCCCCAGACATTTTGTCACAGTGAAGGAAAGGTGATTAGCCCAAGTAGTATGCTAGACATTTTCCATACATTTACACTTCACCAAAGTCCAAAGTCACTGTTACAGATGAGAAGTTGAGATCCAGAGGTGTTCTACAACTTTACCAAGGTCACACAGCTAATAAACCAGGACTCACTCCCAAGATTGGCTCTACTCCATGCCTGGGAATTCCAGAAGCAGTCTCTTTGTTCTGCTGGCTTGGACTCTGCAGTTCCTCACCTACATTCCCCAGGTACTAAGTACCATTTCTCATCTCCTGAGCCACCATTTTGCCTGGTCTGAGCAGCTTCCTTTCTGCTTTGCCTTTTTTGGTCTCCATCTATTTCTCTGTGCCACACACTCATCTTTGGAGACCAGATAGTCTGGCCACCTCCACCTGAGCCCCCTATTTGCCTTGGCAGACCCTGGGCAGAGGTCATACCCAGCAACTTTATATCTAGTGCCAGGCAGCCAGGCCCACTGGGGCTGGGATTTGAAGAAGGATGGAAAGTCTTTCCTAGTGACTGCTTCCAACTAGACTGCAGCTGCGATACAGGGTTCTTCATTCAGATGTCTCTGGAAATTTAAAACTTCCTTCACATTCTAATGGAGAATAAGTCTTTTCAAGATTTCCAGGCCCATCCCTGCATCCGCATTCCATCACTGACAGCCAAGGCCAGAGCCAACAACATTCATCCCCATGTTCACCCCAGAGCCGCTCCCTAACCCACTCTCCTGTGTAGGGGATGCTTCATAGGCTCCCAGGCAATGGGGTGGAAAAAGGCTGGGGCAGGCATGCTCCCTCCAAGAAGTCTTGGGAAATGCCAGGAGGTGTGACCCCATGGGCTACGGGGGAGGGGTAGTCCCCACCTCAGGTTCACAAAAGGCCTTAAATTGATTTCCGATGTTATTTCCAGATGAGGTTATACATTGTCTATTCTGTGAGTTCGAAGTGTTAATTTGTAAAATGTAAATATTGAAAATATGCTGCAGCTTTTCGACTCCATTTAGCATCCTGCTTTTTTTAGATACCAAAAACCTCAAAAATGTAAAGTTTCCTTCAAGCCTCTAAAAGGCTTTGATGTGTGCCCAAAAGAAAGATCCAGGAAAGAGGGTGGCTGGAAGGAGGTGGGCAGAAGTGTAAAAAGGCTCCGAGCCCAGCCCTGAGCTGAACTCCTCAGGAGTTAGATCCAGTCCCTTTGAAGGAGTTCTGCCCTTTTGTGCGGGGGTTCTCAATCCTTGCAGCAGCAAGAGCTAACCAGGCTGAAGATGGGGGACAGGCCCAGACTGGCACGGGAGGCTAAAAGGCCGTCCAACCGGCCCGCCCATAGATCTGAGACCAGACGCTCAGGCTTCATGTTCTCTGCCAGGGCCAGAATCCAGACCCAGCGCCAGACTTCCGGCCTGTGCCCCGCAAGAGTGTCCGGGTACCCCTGACACCCCTGCAGAGGCAGCACCAGGGAGCTCCGCTGAGGACACCAGCAAGACGGAAGGAGCGCGCTCCCTCCCAAGCGAAAGACAGATGTGGGGCTAATGAAAGGGAGGCTGAGAGAGGCACAGGGTCTGCGGGGGTGAGCGGGGCGTGGCAGGGAGAGGACGCTCCCGGGAGCTACCAGACCCCCGGAGGTCTGCCGCGAGGTCCGGAGGAAGCGGGCGCGGGAGAGGACTGGGCGAGGGAGCAGCTTGGCCCGAGGGTCCCGGGCTGAAACTCAACACCGCGTTTGGAGGATCGTCCCCTTTTCTCCTCCGACCCCCTCCCTTCCTCTCTCTTTTCTCCTCCCTCTTTTCTCTTAATCCCAGGACTGAGCCCCGCGCCCGCGCCCGGGAGGAGAGGGCTCGGAGGGAGGAGAAAGGACCGTACTGAGAGGGAGCCAGGAGCCGGGGAAAAGAGGAGGAAAGGGGGGCCGTGCGGGAGGGGTGAGCCTGGGGGCCACGCGCGACCCCTGAGCCTCCTCAGTGACCCCCTGGAGCCCAAGCCCAGGCGAGCCCGCAGGACCCTAGCCCCAGCTCCTGCGCCTTCTCTTTGCTCCCTCTGTCGCTTTGTGGCCTTTCTCTTCGTCCCCAAAGACACCTGGGAGCTGCCCGACCTCGGGGGCGCGCCGCGGGAGGGGCCCCGCCAAGGGTGCGTGTGTGCGGGGTGGGGGGGGGCCGGCACCCCTAGCCCCAGCTCCTG